ACCGGATTTTATATTTTAAAATGTAAATTTGCAAATATCTGTGCTTTCAATCTCAAAAGCGGGGTAGTAACGTCTACTGGCAACCTTTCCCTTAAATATTCCGGCACTTTTTCGAATTTTTCGATTTATTCTTATATATTACTAACGATGGGCTTCCATCAAATGCTATGTTCAATTTGAAACACTTGAGAAGATACTTTCTGCACAAAGAAGTGTGGACTACTGTGTAATGTAGACATGAAACAGACAGGAGATTAAACACCTTCACACTATCTATTTTATGTTGCATTTACTTTTTTTAGAACGAATTATAACGAAAATAGCTCTGGTCTAAAGTGAGGAGTGGGTTCAGTCATTTGTAAAGAAGACGACTCGATCGCTGGGACAATACTTTTATTCGCTTGACGTTTCGTGATCCGTCGCGGATTCACCATCAGAGACATAAGCAGAAAACAGTAGCAGATACGGATGATGACGAGTCCGTGACGGATCACGAAACGACACGTGAATAAAAGTATTGTCATAGCGATCGAGTCGTCTTCTTCACAATTACTCCCTGGGACTCGCATGTATGCTTGGCATCAGTCGTTTGTAGTAGAAATGGTATAACAAATTTCCTGAGAAGTGAGCTCAACCGGTTCAACATTCCATGTTTTATTCAGACTTGATCTCGGGTAAAAGCAGGTAAGGCTGACACCTTACAGCGAAATTCCTAATTAAGATGCTTTCGCAAAAATGCGAATTGCCAACTTTTTGTGGACTTAACTACTTTTTGGCGTCCGAGTAAGTCTACAGATATGACCCATCTGCATTAGAAAGGATGACACTCAGCGAACTACTTCGGTCAGTGCTCGTAAATATATGTTCTTTTGAAGGCTTTGGTAAAGATAGTGCAGAATTTATATTTACGTGCAATCGGTTGAAAACACCGAAAGTCTTGAAGTATTCAGCATTATTCAAAGGTCGATCTGAAAATCATCGTTATCCAAAACCATTAGTACGTGCATGAAATTGGACTAAAATAGTGCGTTTGCGATTAAAACTGACAATTCTATTTAAAACCATCAGTCACGGACTAGCCTGCGAACCTGTTAGCTCAAAAACATCTATTATTTGACTTCTCTATCGGCGCAATCAAGCAAACACCAGTTGTTAGTACTTAACACAACATCTGAAGCAAAAAAAAACGGAAAACAGCACAATTAATTTGCGTTAAACGCTGCTGGGATCTTTACTCAAAATGGAAGCTGTTTTGTAATGGCCATCCTATAAAGTCCACTTATTCTTGCAGGGTATTTAAAGACAAACTGCCCCAAAGGACTAATTTCAAACATACAGATACTTGTACTAATTTATTTATCTGTTTTTGCATGGACTATCTTTTTGTTTGCCCTGCCACAGTGATCCTTCAAATTTCCGTATTTGACACTTTTCGAAGAAACATTTGGTATTTCTAAACAAAGTTATATTATTTTCAATAGCACAGAGTGCCCTCGTTTCAAGAACAAGGGTTTTATTTTGAAATTCGTCCGATTACATGAGTCAAGGAATCTGCTGTATACGTGAGTGTATTCAAATATCGGCATCTAAAGAAATGCGATTAAAAGCAGGTTATTTCTTTGGAAAGATATTTTGTCTTCAGACAACTAGAGGATCTGCAGGCGCAGTTTAACTATGCATAAAAAAGATCTCGTGCTGTGCCAAGCCAAAAGCCCCGTTACATTCAATTACCCCGTCGACATTGGCTGTGTTTGCCTCAACTTGCCTTTGGCGAATTAGCATGTTGCATCTAAGTCGACATGCCTATCGGGGCTTATTGGAACTCACGGCCCTTCCTTGTTGGGCAGGCGTCAAAGGGGCGGCTCTTTCCCCATACAAATATGTATTCTGTGCCCACTATCTACCTGGATATCAGAAGTAAATCGTCTTTTCTCGTCACCACTAACGGGCGTTCATCTTTACGGGGAAAGAGGGATTGTCAACCTGTCCACAATAGAGAGCATTACAATTGTTGCATGGTAGTTTATAGACAATGTCTTTCCCTTCGAATACTCAAGGTATTTGTGTCTTGTATGGCTCTCCTGTGCATGAGGACGAAGCAGAATAAAAAAATTCGAAAATAAAATTCATTCTTCTGAGAAGTAACTTCAACTATTTCTAAAAGTAGATACAGCAAAGGCAGTAAAGACGATCATCAGTGTTGCGCGTGTGCTTACTGAACGCCCTTTTCGCGTTTTACTTTGGGGATCCCTCTATGCCTCTGATGCATGTCAAATCGCTGCTAGTATTTAAGGCTGCATGACGTAATTGACAAAGGCAATTGAAACTCTAGTGATTAGTCAGCTACAACCAATTCCAGGTAGCCGTAACCGGTCGGTGAGTATTCATCCACCAATGTTTCTATTTCCGGTCGAAACCGATAAGACAACGAGCTCGTTACTCGGCGGTTAAAGTGTTGGACTTCTAATCACAGGGGTCACGGGCTCGAGCCTCGGGTGGTTCAACACATGGGGTTTGATACGGCTGGCTGATGATGTCTCATAAGCCAAAAATAGCAATTCCAGTCACCCTTATCTTTTTCGCTAACGTTCTTCTGCAGTCTGCTTTAGTCAACGATGAGTTGTACTGTTCGATAGGACTAAGCCCCGTCAGATGTCAGAGTCTTGTTAAGTGCAGGTGTAATTTGAATATACCTTATGCGTTTTCACCTTCAAAAACTTATCAAGTAGACAATTACATTTACAAACATGTCTTAAATGTCTGCGTTTTGCGCCGAAGGCTCCCAATCTTTTTCAATATGCCACAGTGTGCTTACCACCTTCGACAGAAAGAATCTAACCAAACTGGAGGGAAGATTCCCGGACACAACTTCCTTTGTTCCACCAACATTTTATGTAAATACTCGAGCTGAAGGCTGTATTACAAAACGATACTCTGCAAACCGAAAGCCACGTTGCTCTATTTCCGACATTTACCCAGCCTGCAATCCCAAACAAATATTTCGCCGGCTGAAAGGGGTGCAGATTTGCTTACACAGAGCCGCAAATGGATTGATCGACGGCAGTCAACAGGGCCCTACGGTAGGCCCCGTTCGGCGGGGTATTTACTGGATTCCTTGAGAAGATTCTTATGCAACTCAGGATGTAAATACACAGCGTACCCATGCACGTACTAAGTCTACCGGCAACCGCAAGGGATATGACCCCACGCTGAAAATGGGAAGCGCTGACTCCTAGAATACGCGAGTGGTGATAGAAGAGGTTTTATATGTGGCGTCTAAGCAACTGGTAGATAGTTGTTTTGGATAAGCGCATGATAAAAATAATATATTTGCGTCATCAGGTTATTTAAAAAACAACAACAGAATACGTTACTAGGTCAGCGCGCAGTTTAAACGGCTCTCATCCGTCAATGACCAATCAACCTGAAGGAGCAACTGCGAAGAATATATCGTAAAATCTGATACCCATGCTTTCCGTTACTAGAGATAGAATTGAGGCTGCAAACTCTGACAGCATTGTCCTTAATCTTAAGCCTATGCCCAAATTTTAACCCTGAAGTCGAGCCTTAACATGAACCGCCTGCTCTGACGACGCACACTTACAAAAAGAAACCCTAGGCGTGGTGGAAATGACCGAACGGGAAGGGGGTTAATTGGGCCTACCCGAATAAAATACGTAAGTCTTACTTATAATCAAAGACTATGTGGGGCCGGAGATTTGATGGATTTCCATCCACGTTAATTTAAAGTTAAGTATGTTGTTCTTGTATTATTCTTGAAGGTAGCTGGGCTATGATTTAGCCTTAATATAACCTACGAAAGGTTAACTTTTTGACGTAGTGGCCATTCGGATTTCAAGGACAGAGCCCTGTCCACACGATATCACCCCATCGATTACTTTCAACCCCAGAGTGCATTTGCAATGAACGAAAGAATATGGGGCGTTAGGCTTAATCGCCCTCTGGAGCTGCATTTCGGTGTGGGTATTCGGCTCCTGCAAAACGGGCCACGTGATAGGTGTGCTGGATCAAGCAAGGGGCTAGATCAGGGTACGGCAGGCGTTATTCGGGCTACATTGCAAACATGGAGGCGTGATGGCACGTGGTAGCCACCTGCGTCCGGTCCCATTTCCGGTTTGCTTAATTTTGTCTTGAGACGGGGCACATGTTGGTGAGGAAGTAACGAGTGCGGTGGATGCTTCGCAAGTCGAATATCAATTAAAACTACTGCATGCGCAAGTCCCGGTCCCTACAGCACCTTGTTGTGGAGCATACGGAGGCCATCGTCAAAATAAACGGTCAAAATACCGTGTGTAGAAGACAAGGGAAACCCGAATGGCTATTTCTGACTTGCGATTCCTCATCTGTCAAACACATACAACCCCAGATTTCCAATCCCTGGAACAGGGACTCCTTGTTCCGTCGTTTTACCGCTGTTATTTGTTTTCGTTAAATAAACTAAGTAAATAAGTATGTTAAAGTAGGATAACCCACTTTCAATCACACGTAGCCCGTCGTAAAACCAGCGATATTTTAAGGACCTGGCAGCAAAACTTTGTGCATGGAGCGCATTTCACTCAGTGTGTTGTTAATATTAAAACTACAGTTGCGCAGACCACGTCAGCACAGGCTGGAGTCACAGGCTGCCGATGAATTTGTCAGCAGCCGCTAAAAATAAACTGATCTCTCTTCACTTAACCATCCACAGGCCGAATCAAATATAAACTGCTGTTGTGAAAACGCCCACCCTACGCACAATTCAGTCTCCACGAGCCTAGAATTTTCCTCACTAAAGGGCCTTTGCTACCTTCCCGATGAGAACCTCTTTCTCTGAGACGTAAGTACTTACTTCTGTGTTCTCTCTAAGAACCAGTAAACTTCCACTGACGTTACAGCGGCGTTGAAGTTATGCTCGTCAAAAGGCACACCACAAAATTTGAGAAGCTTTGAGAAGGATACGCAAGGATTTAGGGGGTGAGAGGAGCCGTACTCCGACTTACGCTTTTCTCCTGAACATCCAACAATTTGGCCGTAATGAGCACTGGCGGCATCTCGTCGGAGCCGAGATCCGCGCCCTGACTGCCAGCTGTAGCGATCTGTAGGAGGACCAGACAGTCCGGCGGCTGGCTCTGCTCAATCAACCTCGGCGGGGTGCCCATCTGTCCGTCAGCCGTTTGAAAGACTGCCTCAATCGGTCGCGTCATTTCAGACGATGCCTCGGTTTTCATCATAC